CCCTAATGTTTGCGAGCCCAGTGGGTAAACAAGGAGGGCCAGCTTCCAAAACAGTACCTTTGGACACGCACAAAACGACCAGACCTCCCTAAACTTCACTAGATGTGTCTTGTGAGTGGGGGAGGGGGCGAAAAGCCGAGCGCCACGACGGAACGAGAGGAGATAAAGCAAGACGGCAAGAGGAAACACCAGGCCCAGTGACGTGACAATGACAGGACATGACGTTTAATCAGGACAATAGACGGCGAGACTCATTTTTTAAACCAGATTATAGCTACCCTGACACTGCAGTGCGGTGCACTGAAATGCAGTGCAGAGCAGAGAAGCTCTTTAATCCAGGCGCAGTGCAGTGTTGTCCACTGGAGTGCACTGCAAAGTAGTCGCGGTACAGTATGGTCTACTGGAGTGCACTGCAGTGTAAGCGAGGTTAAGTATAGCCGTCTGGAGTGCCCTGCAGTGCAGTCGCGGTACAGTATGGCCCTCTTGAGTGCACTGCAGTGCAATCGCGGTGGTCACCGTTCGTCCCCGGATCAATATCAGCCATCCGCTGACCGAGCTGGAGACGGACAGCGCACCTGCGTCACTGGAAAGAACTTGCTGCTACCGGACACACATCCCCAGCCGCGGCAATCAGTGTATCCGCATTCTGCACAGACCGGGACAGGCGGACATACGCAGGGGAGAAGAGGTTTGATAGAGGGGTGGCTGAGCTGACTCGTGGGAAGTGGATCGTCAAACGAATGATTGCTGATCTGCGAACATGTCCGGCAGCCAGAACAAAATAAGAACGGTGATTTGTTCATGCTGAATTAGATTGCTGCCAAAATGATTTGCATATGCATAATGCAACAAAGTTTTTTAGTTGCAACCCGATATAAAAAACAGCACCCAAGAAAAAGTGACTTTTTAAGCACAAATAACAGGCTAGATGTTACGCTGCAGTGTCGTGCAGTAGCTTACCCTTCCCCTTACATAACAAACCCGTGTCGATTGTCGGTATCTAGCAGGTATGAACGCAAAAACTGACATATGATACGACATAGGTAGCTGTGACAGCGAAGACCCTCAACGAAGAACATCGTTTTTATGGCGCAACGATGTTCTCGCGCCCCATTCATAAAGGTTCCATAAAAACTACCCACGTGTATCAATCGCAAAGAAGGCTTATCGACCAACGACGAAAGAGTATATAAAAAACTAATTTCGCAGATCAGCCTGTTCCCGAATAGCACCCACCACTGTGATTTGTTACCGGAACCATGCCACCACCGCGGCGATGACACGACCCCAGGGCAGGGAACACGAGCACCCCACCCGTCCACGTCACTTCCACGCGATCCCCAGGGCGGTCCCCGAGTGGCCGTTAGCGCTGCCGAGCCATACATCATCCGACATTACCGATCTACGCGTCAGCTCGATATGACCCGAGAGCCGCCGTTCTGACGCCTCTCCTCCGGTCACGGTCGGCTGAGGGCCCCTTCCCCTCCCCCGACCCCGGACCCCAGGGCGGGGTCGATATATTGACCTCAGCCGGGCTCCCTCATCAGTGGGTCGGTCCAATCGGAGCTAAGACGGAGGGATCACACACATCGGTGGTCATGACCTGGCCGAAACAAAGACCATGGATTAACTAGCACAAACACAAAATAATATCCAGCTCCTGTTGGTAAGATGATTTAACTTGCAACTGATGGCAACCAGCCTATCAGGAACCATATCGACCTGTTGTGTCAGGCTCTCCTGTATGAGTTGGGTGCAGAACGACTAATGAATACAATCTCCCCAGTCACGCATCGTTCCATGCAACCCCTACCATCGACCATCTGAAACCTCTCTGTTTCGACTTCTGCTCACCCACCATATTCCATCTACCAAGCCCAACTCACTCACCCACCAACCCCCCACACACCACCAACCATCAACCACCCTACCACTCACCACCCATCATCAACCACCCTACCACTCACCACCCATCATCAACCACCCTACCACTCACCACCCACCATCAACCACCCCACCACCCACTACTCCCACACACCAGACCACCAGACCACCTAAAGCCGCCATTCCAGTGCGGGCGCCGCCCCGCCGTGTAGTATTGAATGACCCCCAGCGCTGCCCGAGAGGCGCCCTCGGTGCTATTGGTCCGTCCGGAGCCCCATCCGAGTGGCTGACCCCACCGCCACCGCGGAGACTGAGACACTTGAACGCAATGGCTCCGAAAGGTCGACTGGACAGCTCCATGGCAGTGCAAACAGTGGCGGCGGTCGGAGACGGAGTGGTCGCCAGGTAATTGCATTGGCAGTACTGGAAGTTAATTGGACGAAAACATGGCTAGGTATCGGCGGTGAGAAAATACCTGGAGATCAAAAATGCCTGGCTGAAATGGATTCTATTAGCCAGATCGATTCCATTCCGTTATTCAACCGACTTCGGTTCCCCATAAACTTTGAAATTCCGTCTTTGTAATTCCTTCTACAGAATGAATATCTACGCTTAGTCTTCTAAAATCCTCCATACGTCAAAATAATTGCCTCAAAGTAAAATACATCACATCAACGCCAAGCTCATCAGAAGCTAGCACAAAACAGGAATAAGCTCTCTCCCCCTCTCCAAACGCACACAAACACAAACACTGCCGACTTCCTTCCCGCACACCCTGCAGCAAAGCCAGCCGGAGCAGAGACAAAAAACGGCAGCGTTTTTCTGTCAGCGGCAATTTTCCGGGCGTTCCGTGTCAGTCTCACGGCCGGAGAAGCGTGCAGAAAGCGGGCCGCCGCCGGGGCCGGCCGGGGTCCTGTCATCAACCGGCCGGTGGGGCGTGACTGATCTGATTTCGACCCCTTTGTCTGGTGTCCATCTCAGCAGCGACAGAAAGAGCAGATGGATTGGAGAGGAGTGGAATGATGTCATGACTGTGAGGGTGCCGAGTCATTGTAATTGGCAGTAGTCGGAGGTGGTCGACTTCATTTCAACCGGTCCGGGAAGCCTGGGGATGTCGTGAACTCTTACTTAGAATGACATAATGCTGGGCTTGTGCCAAAACTGCTTCGCGAAATGAGAGCAGTTGAAGGCACCCGCGCCTAAATTGTAAACAGAAAGCGGTGCCAACGCTAAAAAGGAGGGTTTCGGGGCCAAAACAGAGTCACTGGACCAATCAAGCTTCATTCATTGGCATTTGCCGGTGTCCGGCCCCGGTTCATGTCCAAGTGACGCTCTCCCGCTTCACCGTCACCGTCTCGGCCCCTTCCGACGGGATGGCGTCACCTCGTCACGTGACGTTACTGTCGGGGCGTCACGGCAGTCACGTGACCGCCAGCGGGGCGTCACGCCGCTGGCACGCGGCCGCAAGAGGGACGGAGAGAGGCGGGGGAGCAGAGGGAGGAGAGAGGGACGGAGAGAGGCGGGATGAGCAGAGGGAGGAGCAGAGGGGGCAGCGGAAGAGAGTTGCACGCCCCGAGTGGAGGTGATTGACCATTGCTGTTGAGGGTGTGATGACATCGAACATCTTTCTCGGGCGCAAATGTTATGGATCGATGACAAAGACGTAGGAGCGAAGATGGCAACCTTGATGTGAGACAGGGAGCAGATATTGGTCCAAAATAATTAATGGTTCTCAGGAAAAGTGACACCTATTACTCGCTGCCGTGAAAAAGTGACGCCCATTACTAGATACGATAAAAAGTGACTGCTATCTCACACGATAAGACGATCCTTGTCGAGTGTTGTCGGTATTAGGGGACAAGGACAAGCGAAAGCTTCCGAAGCAAAAACCTGAGGAAAACAGACGATCCAGCGGGAATGGCCAAGACATCTGCAATTATCAACTGAAGAGGCCAAACGGCTAGGTAATTGACTTCATATTTTGGTATCAGTTCAAACCCTGAAACCCATGTCAGGTAAGTATCAACTGGATCCATCAACTGGGGTGGTACGTACGACGGATCCGGCAACTACCCGCCATACAAAATGTCGATTATGTCCGTGGCCCTTACCGCAAACCCGCTTTCCGTGCCCGTGCGCCCGGCTCACGCCCCGTCCCGTGCCCGTGTCAGCATACAGTGGTCCAAACCCACTTCCCGTGCCGTGCCCGCGCCCATGACGACTCCGTGCCGTGCCCGTGCCCATGACGACTCCGTGCGGCGCGTTGGTCACGGGTGGTCAGCCCAGCGCGACCAACGGTATCACTCATCGGTCTGGATCTACCGCACAGCGCCCCACGGATGTGGAGCCACAACAGGCCGGCACGCAGGGGCAGGGAGCGCCGGCACTCGCAGAAAACACAGGTGGTATGGACGGGTGCCCGGAACGAAACACCGAGGAGAACTACATCAGTCTAGATATCAATTTCACTACGCAAGAGGAGAATTTGTAACTCGGTATGGATGAAGCCACGGGTTGAGTCAAAGGAATTTGACATGCTCCTCAAAGTAAAACCGATGTGAAAAGGGAGCCATGGAAATGCGCAGGTTCTTTGATGCAGCAAAATGACCATTCAGAACCCCAAAGCACGCGCAGAAAATTGGCAGTTGGAGCATAATTGCGGTAATGTGGACCAGAAGAATGCGACTGATTGCGTGACAACTGAGTGAAAATGCTCATCAGGCACCAGGCACGTGTGATTGCGCCGTGACGAAGCATTATGAGTGGTGTTCATACACACCAACACCAGGCTATAAATGATTCAAGGGAAAACCGACAGAAGCCGAAACAGTAATAATTACGCGCAGGAATATTCACACATTATGGGCATCACGCGAAAAGATTAATGAAGCCAATGATTAGGCGAAAACTAAGGCGATAGCAATACATATAAGCGTAGTCTATGATAATGGCAATGGCATTCCGATTCCCGTGATTTCTTCAACCACTCATTACACATGACACCTAGCCAGTGTTTCTCCTCTGCTAAAGGGAGATAATCACTTCTTAAAGGCACTACGAGCCACTCCACTCGCCATGCCAGTCACGCACGAGCGTGTGTACCCCGGTCACCTCACCTTTGACAATGGTGCGTGCCGCATCATTGTAGACTTTTTCTTGTGTGGCGTTGGGCTTTATGACTTTATCGAACATGTACAGCTTTCCCTGAAACAGAAGAGGCAGGCGGGCTCATCAGCAGCTGTGCGGTGCTCAGGTGGGCCCGAACGACCTCTGCTTGCGATCAATACGACCTGGGGCTCCGTAACCGCACGAGCACGCGTCTGGCGAGCCCCCGTCCGGGGGCAGCGCTCACAAACACGGTAATTGTGTCTGAAGTTGGCCAGGGCCGCTCAATTTCCCACCGGCATATAGTGGTGAATATTCATGAAATGGCCGGACTGCCGTTCGCCGTTAGTCAAACAAACGAAAAGCACGCGCAGCGGAGTCTGGCACGTTTGAGACGGTGTTTGACGAATGCTCTAACATTTGATCGAAGTTCAGTGCTTTCAAGAAACGCAGTGATCATACATGTTTTAATAGCGGTTCAATTAGCAAGTGGGTTACATTACACATACGGATAAGCGGGTATCAAGGCGTCATTTCCCATGTCAGCAAGGACAAACATTTCTGGGTGCCCAAATACCTCGGTACCTATCAAAAGGTGTTTGTGTCAGAGCGCGTATCGACAAATGAAAGCATGTCACTGCGGTTCCTCATTACTGAGACCACAATGGCTTTAATGGGCTGGGCTAGTCGCACGTAGCGTTACCACTGACACTATTCTTTTTTCTCTGAACGGCTTCCGTGGCCCTAACGTTTCAAAGAGCATAAATTTGATATGGAGTTCTGATGAAAAAAATCAAGAGTAAGATTACCATGACGGCAATAAGGATAGTTCAAGGAGAAACAGGTTGGGGTAATCACAATGCATCCGCAAAGTGAAACAAGTGACTAAACTAAAATGATGAGCCATTAATAACTCACCCAAAACTCGCAACTTTTGCTATCAGCCGCCAATCTTCAACCACATGACAGCCCCAATCATTCTAACCCCGCCATGACACCCCGATGACATAACCATCACACCCTCGCCGTTACCCGATCAGCTGATATCGCACTCGGTACCGAGGGGACCGGTAAACCTCCCCAAATACGGAGTAGGCCCGTCACGACCAGACTCTCTGTGGTCGCCGGACTGACTCACAGGGTTGGCCGGCTCTGCTGCAGCGAGACTGCGACCGGTGCTGCTCCTATCGCGCGCTGAGATCGGACAGAATCGCTGTCCTTTTCACGGCACGGTGATCTCATTAGAGGTGCAGTACGCTAGAACGTCTGGTCTGGTGCAGCGTGGTCCGGTGCACAGCGTGGCAACAAATGGCCGAGTTTTCCTCAGAAATTGTGTCCGTATAGTTAGTTCAATGGGTGACGGTCAGTGTGCGCTAAGCGAGCTAAGAGCTTGTTGCGTGGCTCTGCGGAGTCGCCATCAGACATAGGCGCGGGAGCCGGGGGGGCAGTGGGGGCAGCTTGCCCCCCCAACTCTGGGGCCGTGGGGGCGGTGCCCCCACAGATTTGAGACGGAATACCACACTTTTTTTGCAAATGTTTTCTTTTTTTGTTGAAAAAGCCGCGGGGTGAAAAATAAGTGGCCTAAAACCGGTGAGAAAACTAGATTTGGGGGTACCCTAGGTTGATCTCTATTATGGTGTGCCCCCCCAGTCGGAAAGTAGTTCCCGCGCCCCTGCCATCAGACCATATCGTATACCGTGCACCGGCGCAACGATAAACGTTTTTAATTAAACGGAGCTTCAGAAGCCCACAAAGCATTGGAAGTGGGAGTCTTTGCAGCGGTATGGACGGACATTTTACATTATCGTCTTTGCTTACGAAACATAATGCTGCTTTATTCTGAGACCTTTGGATTTATTTCTACCTATTATTGGATTTATGTTACTGCGACCAAATATCTCGGGCATATTATCTAGCATAACAACTTCGACCAAATTCCTCAGCATCTCGAGACCCCCTGCGTACACCATGAACCCGCTGTCCAATCACAGATCGTCCAAGCCACACGCCTCACCATGAGCTAGCACAAATTAGACGCACCAGGCGCCAGCTCTGGCCATTGTGGCGCCGTGGCCGGTGGAACCGAATCCAGAATCAAATCACGACTATCAAATTACAGCCTGGGAGAGTCAGGTAGCGGGCGTGACAGGACAGACCAGGCACAGATGGGCAGCACGCGCACTTAGACCCACAGCGATTACACGGGAGCGGGTTTGAACGTCGCGGCAGAGCCAGCCAAACACGAATGGCCATCAGTGGATTACAGAAGCCTGTTCTGCATAATTTAATGCAGTGTTTTCATCATCTTAGGAAGAGCAGCTTGCTCGTTCAAGCTTCCTACATCGGGCCCGCAGACTCAACCCACTGGTCATGGGGAGAACAGCCGATTCTACGGCAACCATGACCTAGCACCGAGCCTGTTCAAACTCTGGGACATCTCTGCCATCAGTTAGCGTTCACAGTCGGTGGCTGACGTCACCTCGAGGCACCAAACCACGGCGTCGTGCCGGTCCGGACCGGAAGCCACTAATTTACCGGCGTGTGGGGCCGTGACGTCACGCTTCACGGGCCGCCAGCTGACTGGTGCGCCGGCGCGGCGACCGGCCGGCGAGCGCCTCACCTGCCAGCTAAGGAGCCACACCGGCGCCAGAGGCGGAGCCAGGGGTGCGCGGAGGGAGGCCGCTCAACCGGACAGACACAGACAGAATGGGAGGCCAGTTGGAGAATCACTTTGCAACCGACGATTTGAAAATGAAACTAAAATGGCGATTAAAAACAGATTATATAGTCGGATATGCATCTACAGGACATTTACACTGTTTGAAAACATGTCATCGCTCCCCTTCCACGCCTTGCAAGTAACCGCCTCAAAGCAAGAAATTCCGACGTGTGCCCTGAATTTCATGGTCACAAGCGATCAGGCGTTGAGCTGGTGAGCTGGTGACCTACCTGATGATCTATTTTAGAAACCCATACCAAGCACGCATCACAGACGGCCACAAACCGAATGCCATCCCGATCAAGTTTGGCCGCAATATCCGTCGGCTTCTTTCCGGCCAGACCTCGTACCACGGCACCGCTGGGTCTCCGCGGCTCACGGCGATCAGCCCCGGCTCACACCGGGCTCAAAATGTCAGGATATGACCAAGCGAGATGGATTACCGCCTGGGACACCAGCCTGGCGCGTGTGACCCGCGCTGAGCAGCGATGAATACGGGAGCCGGTCGGTGTCACGGCCACGGGCCCGCTCAGCACAGGGCATATTGCAGCGCAGCGCGACAGGATGATCAGGGGGTCTCTGGGGTGCGAAATTATTTACAAGGGAATAACTATAGCGAGAAATATGAAGAAAATATTACAAAGCAGAGTACCTAGTCAAAGTGTTAACTAGTGAGCATTGAGCCTAGTCATTGTGCATTTTAACGAGTTCTTTAGCTTCATTTAAAGTTAAGCTGCTAGTAAGATCCTTCAAAATTGAAAACAGTAATCGAAAGATAGCGCTGGGAACGGTGCCTGTTGAGGTGCCTGTTGTGTTGCCGATCGCATTTGAGTGCATTCTGTTTTCAAATGAAGTGGAACTAAGGCAGGAAAGGAGGCCACGCATAATAGCACGAGTTCAGACCAGACTGTTATGCAACAGAGCACGATAGGAGAGCAATGCACGAGCCAACGTGCGGCCAGTCGATCTTGTGAGAAAGGGAATTCACGCATTAAAAATGACAATCAAAAAAAGGTTATAGTCACAGAGGATTTGAAAATCAAAAGTGACACCTGTGACCTGAGACGAAAAAAAAAATATATGTAATGGCATTCACTAAAATATTGTGTTCGGAAGCAAATGTTTAATTTGAAAGATCTACTTTTATCAAATCTTCTCAAAGATACGGCTTCTACCCATTATTCCATCTACCGCCCCTGTGAGCTTAACAGTACATTGTTTCAAAGGGAAAAAGTTTCGAAATTCGAAGTGAGTTTAAATAGCAGCCATAACATCCTGCAGAGCAGATTTTGAAAGTGTTGCCATGGTATTACGAACATCCACATAATCAGCTCACATCTGAATGATCACTCTGTAGCATGTCCTGCTATTGACTCTAATAAATGGATTCTGTTTATTCTTGGTCAATAAATGATTTGACCTATTCAAACATTAGAGATAATTTTATCCTGCTAAAAAAATACAACAGTACATACAAACAATGTGCTAAATTTTATGTTCAGCAATGATGAGGGGAAATCACATAATTATGGCATGCATGGTCATCAAATTGCATCTACTTATAATTTGGGGGGGGGGGTATCTAATCTTTTAGCAAACACAACCAGGTACTTACTGTGCAGTGTGCACAGCAAAGGCAAACCAAGTGATTGAGGGGAAATGGTATTTTGCCACTTGCCAGTGATAGGTTCTATCTCTATCTTATCATTGAGCTTTGTTTTGTTTATATGACTAACAAAATACAAAGATGGTCATGAGGTGCAAAAGGGCATTCATTCAGGGCACACTTATTATATTTTCATTAAGCCTATGAGGTGCTTGCCTTACTGACCAAGTATGATATGCCAAGTGCTACCTATTTCTAGTAAAAATATACTTCCATCTACCCATTAGATTATTCAGAGTTGAGTACCGTAAAACGGGGTGTTAAGGGACAGTTTTGAGGTGTTTTGTTATATAACTCAAGAAGGGTTGGAGATAGAAGCATCAAATTGTCAGCATTTTATGTGGAATTTGGTGCTTTACATGCCTGCCACATTAAAGTTTTTAAGATTTATACCTGCATATTATTTTCTATTACTTTTCATCACTGTCCCTTAGCACCCCAATGTGGGGTGTTAAGGGACACCTATATTATTCCAAGAAATGGTCATCAAATGCCCACAATTAGGGTGTGGAAGGGCTCACACTTTATTTATTGAAATGTTTTGCATATTCTGTCACAAAACAAGTCAGGTTCATTCACCACTAATGACCTTTTTAGCCAATTACGTGTAATGCAGTTTACGCTTGTGGAAAATGTGCTAATTATAAGGTAAACAGAACCAAAAAGTAATCTTCTGTCATCAATAAAAACCCATGTCGAAGCTAGTCACTTGTCATTATGTTGCCCTCTTTGTTTTAGCCTTTTTATGATGACATCACATTTACCTACATCAGTCTCCATTGACCCATCATTGTAAAAGAGAGTGTGAGATGTTTTGTTACATAACTTAAGATATGTGAGAGATAAAAGCATGAACTTGCCAGCATTTTATGTGGAATTTGGTGTTTTTCATGCCTACTGAAAGAAAACTTAATGAAATTATATTTATATAATTTTTTTATTTTTTCTTCTCTGTCCCTATCCACCTCAAAATATGAATGTATCCAGAAAAGAGGAAGAGGATGATGAATGAATGGGTGGATTTGCACAAGTTTTTCAGGAAACATGTGTAATACATGTGACAATACACCTATGCATTCATTTTCCCTGTACACCCACTAGTTTATGTGGTACACACAGAGTTTTGGAGATGTTTCAATTTTGTGAAAATGTAGCATGGTTTTCAAATCCATTTTTGAACCAAATCACTTGCACGAAAAAACATACCATTTTGTCCTATGATTAAGAGCAAAACAGTGTTAACTACCACACTGAAGTTTTTATTGAACCTTCTCAAATAAGGAAGTTAATATGACTCAAAGTTTTTCCCATGCAACTGTCCCTTAACACCCCACTGTCCCTTAACACCCCATTTTACGGTAACCATGAAAACTGTATCAGTTCTCTGACATTGTGTTTTCCTATAGTCAATAACCCAGAAGAATGTCTGTTTTCTGCTGCAGTGCATTATTATCAAGTAAATTAATGTCTAAAATTCATTCCCTGGCACTGTGTGACAAAGAGTGTGTCAATTGACAAAGTATAAGGAAGACAATGCATCCATGGGATGTTGCTGACTGAAGATGAACAAGAGAGTAGCATTACACATTAAATTACCAATCATGTGTAGCAAATAAAGCAATGCATGAAATGAACTATATATTGATAACATAAAAACCTGGTGACCAGTTTAATATTTGGGCTAAATTACTTGCTAAATTAATTGTTTAATTCCTGCACTCTTTGTCCTTTAATCAATATTTGAACATCTGTCAATGTCATAGTTGCTAAGAGAAGCAGGTACCTTTATTGATATCAATATGGGCACAGAGTATCATTGAATTCAGTCACTCGTAAAATTTAACCTGCCAGAACTTCAGAAATACAAAGCAACAAATATCACGACAACATGCATATGGAATGGAATTTAAAAACATATATTATAGATAACACCATGTCATTGAAAATGTCTATTATATACAGAAATAAATTAGCTTTGGAATTCATTTCATAAGGCAGGTACTTTATCAAGAGTTGAATTACCTACCCTGAAATTAAAGTTTTTAAAATCATTTGACAACTCCAGCAGACTTTAAAAAAGCATTGCATATGCAATAAAACTTACCCCAATTGAGCATGCATTGTCATCTGATCCTGCTTGTGAAGGGAACTTCACAATAAACTTTGATCCAGCCTTTTCTTCGGAAGTGTTCAGAGGACGAAAACGACATACCACTTTAATACTGTCTTCAGCAGGACTAGATCCAGATTCCTTTTCATCAGCCATTTTTAACACTTTCACGCTAAACACTTATATTCAATGCTTTCTGCGAAGCCACTTTCACGACTCACGAAGGGTCGAGGGATTATCGATCGGTGAACCGTCACTGTTCGCCAGCTTTCAACGTCCCTGAAGGGAAATGAGATATCCAGACACTGCACAAATCCAGACGAGTATTCGCAAAGCCACACAGAAGTATTAACACTATTCCGTTTCCCGTTTTTATCTAAAATTCGCCCTAGCCAAACGAGTTTCGCCGAGCGGGGACCGCGAATCTACAAGGGCGTTGGTCGTGCAAATGCACGTCAACTGCGCTATCGCCGCAGTATGCGCCACTAGCGCCGCGTAAAATATTGCTACCATATTGCGTAGGGTATACTACAGATAAAGTATACTACAATACTACTACGCCTATAATGAACAGGCATGGAATATTCGTGCGAGAGGTCAAAAGTGATTAGTATTATTTTATTAGTTTAAATAATCTTAGGTCAAGCAAAAGCCAGAAAAGGAAAAGTAGTAGCTAAGAGTAGCTATCGGATAAGATTCACCATTCACTGCAGCTCCATCTGGGTATCAACTATTTGATAGACGAACTCATTCGCCCTTCTAAAGTTCTCATTTTGCTGTTCAATAAGCAGGTACTTCGTCACAAACTCATTCATCTCAAGATCTGTAACAAACTTAGAATGCTTGAGGCACTTGTTGGCGAAGGCCCGCTCCACGGCTCGCGTGTAAGCCTGCTGGGAGATTGTGGTGGGCAGAACCGGAGGTGAGGGAGCGATAGACGGGGGTGCCACGGAGGTCGGTGAGGCCCTGCTGAGAGCGGGCTCCCTGGGCGACGAGTCCGGCCGACTGGCGGGCATGGAGCGGCTCGAGGGCGACTCGATCACCTTGAGGCCCGGCTCGGGAGAGGACACCTCAGTGTGCGGCACGGACGGCATATCCGGCACGGCCAGCTGCGGCCCCTCGTGGTCGGACGGCGCCGCCGCGTCCGTGTCGGCCTCTGCTCCGCCCGCGTTGACGGTGGATGTCAGACTCATCTCCATCTCCTTGGCCGGCAGGAGGACCTCCGACACCAGAGAGGTCGTCACGCCGCTCTGGCTCTGGTGAGAGGCCTCCGAGGGCGCCGGCGGTTGCGCATCCTCTGTGTGGTGTTCACGGATGCCCTGCTCAACATCTTCCTCGGTGAAACTGACGCCAGTAGTGGCACCTTTCTCCGGGACATTGTACATCGAGCCGTCCATGATCATACCCATTGAGGACCGGCTCATTTGTGTGACACTGGAACCGACCGAACTCTGTGAGATGCGCATACTCCGGTTCGATTCCAGCTTGCGCACCAACTGCGCCTGGCCACCGATGATCTGGCCGTTGAAGGACTTGGTGGAGTGAGTCGCCAGCACGTCCGGGTCCGCCATGATGACGTTGACGCGGCTGCCCGACCGCGGTGTCGATTCTGTCACGCGGAGGTGCGATGGTCCGATATTGGGGTTCAGAACGCTGGGAGCGGGACTGGGCCCGGTTTGAGAGGAGTCTCCCGTATCCTGGGCCGACTGCTGACCTCCAGTGACCATCGCCCGGAGGCTCTTTTGGAGTACAGCTTGACTTGCATTCAGTTGGCTAATGCTTACGTTTTTGTCTTTCTCTAGCTTTTTTAGCTCAGTCGTCAAGCGGTTTTGTTCGATTGTGCTTTGAGCTGTATTTGCTGGCCGCAGTTCGTGCGGTATCAACTTGCTTTTTGTTCTTTGCATGGCTACGAACTAAATTAAACGGTCTTGCCTGTTTTACCTAGCGTCTTACCCGAGCGCAAAAAAATGGCTTGCAAAGGGCAAGTTCTGATCAATCAATCACAGCGGAGGACATCAAATTATGCTATGCCTTGTGGTGCCCGAGCCCATATTTTGATTGGTGGCTGAACTGGGCTTGCACTGAATGACACTAAACTAAAATCCGTGGGCATTCGATCTGTGATATCTGATAGCGCAGCTTATAAAGCCGTCCCTGACTTCTGAATTGATAAGACTTTTGGATAAAACGAGAAAAACAAGAAACTATTTTAGCTTGAGAACGTCTCGGTGAGCTCAGTGACAGTGGCAGTGAGTGGCAGTGAGTGTCCAGTTGTCATGGCAACAAGTCATTTTTAATTGGACCGACACGTAACGATACCTCTCTCGTACTTGACTCGTATTCTCATCATCCAGTGATCAAACCCATTACATGGTGTTTAAAAAACATTTCTAAACACAGGTTTCATAAGCCTATGTCCCTGCGAACTATTTTTGCGAACTTTGTAATGAACTAAATGTCATTGCGAACTAATTTAGATCAAATGCCTCCACTTATTTTGCATCGGACCATCCAGTTCTCAAAATTTCGACTTTTACCAACCGTAAAAGGGCAATTTTCCCAATAGGTACCCGTTTAATGGCCAGTCCGAGTCGTGAGTTATACAACACAATGCCCCACTGAATATAAAAGATATACATATGTTAAGCTAAAAATTGTGCAAGATTTATTACCAGACCAGCAGTGCACTTCGTTGGATCATTTTCCACGTCTCAGTGGATAGTACGAATTCGTTATTATTCGGCTTCGAGCCGTGCGGCACAGTATGACTTCAGGCGCTCACTAGTGCCGCCATCTATCGACAGGAATATCGTTATGGTGTGTATTGCGGCGCAGTATGGCTTCAGGCGCTCACTAGTGCCGCCATCTATCGACAGGAATATCGTTACGGCGTGTACTGCGGTGCAGTATAACTTCAGGCGCTCACTAGTGCCGCCATCTATGGGCAGGAATATCATTACGGTATGTATTGCGGCGCAGTATGACTTCAGGCGCTCACTAGTGCCGCCATCTATGAGCAGGAATGTCATTGCGGCATGTATTGCGGCGCAGTATAACTTCAGGCGCTCACTAGTGCCGCCATCTATGGGCAGGAATATCATTACGGTATGTGCTGAGGTGCAGTATGACTTTAGGCGCTCACTAGTGCCGCCGTCACTGAACTCTGTATAATGGCCGCCACTCATGGATAGGAATATCATTACGGCGTGCTTTGTGGCGCAGCTATAACTCCATACCATGTCCATACCATCCCAAGCTAAAAACACCTGAATGGTAGAGCTACGCACAGTGCAATTTACAATCAAACTTCCGCATTGGTTATGGCTGTGACAGATTCTGAAGTATGGGTATGCATTGAAATATGAGGTATGGAAAACATTTCCAGAACCTCTTGTCGCCCACGGATCAGCTTCGCTTCATCGCAAAAAGTTTGTTGGAAACGTGAGGAAGCCTTAATGCACGGGTGTCATTTAGTGAAGCGGTGACAATCCACTTATCCCTGCTCATTGTCGTGCAATAAGAAACGTGCAAAAAAACTTGCTCCTATGCGCGGATAAATCCAGAACGGTGGACGATGTATTCACGATTACGGAGTGAAGTGTGTATCTACCAGTGAACTTAAGTGTACGAGTCGGTGATGCATGGTCACTTTATTGTTGCCTGTTGCGTCAATGAAGCGCAACAAGCTGATGCATGAAGAGAAACAAACATCATGCACTGGAGACGGACACAAAACCCTTGAGTTTCAGGCATTAAGCAGACTACATACAGAAGTAAAGATAAGCGCCGTTTTTTAGATCAATCGTCCTTTTATTGCCATTAACATCATGAAAACATCAGGATAGCGAGTCACGGAGTTAATCGCAACAAAGGGTTATGTGCAGTGCGCACAACGCAAAAACCATCCCTTAGGAAAATATGCTCCTCTTAACAGCCCTACAACAGATTTGCGAATGTATAAACAATCACAGCTTTGCGTTAGCAATATGCTAAGTCACAGCACATCACGAAGAGATGCTTTAGGCATGGACGACCACCTTCAACTGAGAAATATGTAGCTTGCGAAACAGCTCAACACACTACTGCATAAATATTAAGCCCGTCAATAGCGTGCTTCTAAAGGCATTATCTAAGACCCTTCCTCCCCATTGCTATAGCCCAAGATGCATAACATTCCAAAGAAGCAGATAACAAATCGACGGATCACAACAGATTGCTGTCATCAAACCAGTTAGCCACGCATCGCAATTCCCTACAAGAATGCAGCCATCGTCCTTAACCTTACTCGCCATCATTTCCACACACCGCACCCATCCGACTACCATTGTCGCTATCCACGTGCTAGACTAGTAAGAGAACCGCGCCCGTGGCGGATAACCCAGTTTATCCAGGTTCGGTTTACAAGCGAACGTGATCATAGCCGGCGGACCGCACATGAGGATCACTGTGTCATCTCCCGGCGGGGGGAGGTGCTCCGCGATCATCTCCGCCGACACGAAGCCGACGCTGTAGGGCCAGCCGTAGCCGGGACGGTCCACCGTGTACCAAACACGCAGTCGCTCGCGGTGAGCCGCCGCCAGGGCGTCCAGTTCGTCACGCAGAAGTATATCCGACTCGGTCTGGTTGGCGAAGAGAAGCCAGAGACGACTCTTGTCCTCCGGGTCTTTGAGAACCTGCCGGATGAGCTGTAGCATTGGGGTGATGCCCGTGCCGCCGGCTATCATACCAATGCGCGAGGCGCGGACGGTGACGGCCGGTGCCCGTCGCTCGGGACGGATGTGGAACGTGCTTGGTGCCGGGTAGGTGCACAGGCCGGCCGGGCCGCGCACGTCCACAGTGCCGCCGATCGGTAGTTCCTCAAGGTGCTGAGACATCTTGCCGCCGGCCGGAAACTTGGGGTGCGTGTCACGGAAGTAGACCTTGATCACGAGGTCGACGTAGCCCTTGTCGTCATCGCTGGAAACGGGCGTGTAGGGCCGCACCACCAGTTCGCCTTCCACGCGCGCTGAGAGGTACACGTGCTGACCCACCGGCAGACCCAGCACGTGATCCTGCGATGGCAGCGCAAACCGGAACCGACGGGTGTCTCCACTCAGCACCAACTTGTCAATCAGCCGTAGTGGGTACTTGACATTCGGATCCTCCAGCAGGCGTGGTGGGCCACGCTTCTTCCGTTTCCAGAGGAAGAGGCCGGCAGTGATCGCAGTGAGGACTGCCAATCCAATGCCGATCAGCACTGGTTTCAGTGTTGAACTGGAGCTATTGCCTGCCATATCTAGGAATGCAAAAGGTGTGTTGTCATTGGATGTATTTATAATTATCGAGTAGGATAATATTCCACCAATCACCCCATATCTATATGACTCACACAAGTTAAAAAGCAGAGAAAAACTAAATAGGATATTGAAAGGGATCAATATGGGGAAAACATAGTTGATCTAGGTACAACACTTCCTTCTCCCATCACCATGCTAATTGATTCGACACATCCTTAAATACACACTCAATAGCCAATGCGTTAAAGCAAATGCATTTCAGTACTTCTAACAAAACAGATGTCCAAATTATAATTAAAATACCAAACCAAAACAGTCATAAAACAAAGTCATTGGGATCAAGTAACTTGAACTATTCTAAAAGTATTCTAAGATATTCTCAATATTTTATATTCTTCATTTGGTTGGGCTTGAATTTTTTTGAAATGATGGTCAAGAATCTTGCAGCATCAACCGCTAAAACAAGCAACCACATCATACATCAAAACGAACGAAAATACGCGATAAAGTTTATCAAACTTGCCCTAACCTGCAAGCGCTGCAACCCGCACACAATTGTTGTCAAACACAGCTTTGGATTGAAATTTGGTAGCCTGGTAATAAAGTTTTCCTTCCTCAACTCAAAGTTTTTGGGGAAAAGAAAGAAAGTGATTTTGGCTAAGCCTTAATTAATAGGATTTAATTAGAAAATTAGACAAATGAAATATTTTTGAAGCAATTAAAAAGACAATGATCATCGTTCAAAAAACTTCAATTGTTTTATTGGAGGCAAGCATATTTTTGAAATATTTTCTTGCTGAAGTTTTTCCTTTTTCTGTCTGGGTAACGGCAGTTCTGGCGCAGCAGGGACTTTTGCAGTGCTGCCATTTTGTCTGTGTGGTGATATGCTGTAAAATTATTTTCCTCTGAAAAATCTGATAAATTAATTTCAGCCATCGTGTGGGTAGAAATCAGGGTTGATTTAAGTGTCAAACTCCCTTAGGTATGAATAGCTATAATTCCAATATAAATTGGACGTTTTTTCTATGTGCATGACGTTGGTCATCCACAACTGCTCCTGACCATTTTCCTAAGTTGAAGTGTTTCAATTAAGCTTTTTGCCACTTAATCAACAGGGCCTCAAAGATGATACATGATAGTGTTTGTGATAATTAAAATTTAATTTCCCTTAGACCTTTGGCCTTGATTTTGTTTTCATTCATTAATACTGATGAGGAATGATAAAGCCCTAATGTTATGGCCTGTTCCGCAGACCTAAATACAAATAAGATGTTGTGACTTGTGGACTTGGATTGTGGTAGGTAATTCTGAGCTTAATGCATCTCTTTGGATTCTTCTCATAAATATTTCATACTAACTAACTTACTTTTAAATCCTGTCTTGCAGGAGTGAGCAGCAATGTCATTCCTCCAGACCTCAGCATTGACTCACCAGCAGAAGGTGAAGAGCCTCTACAAGAGGGGGCTTCGACTCCTTGAGATGTACCTCCACCACAGGTGAGTTGCTGTGATGCATCCCATGTATTGGTTGCTGATGAAGGGCTTATGGCTGCCTTAGGTGAGTTGGCTATTTTGATGTTTTGTGGATAGATTCTCATTTTGCATCAAGTGTTTCAGTGCTTATAGAAATAAATTGTCTTATAAGAAATAATTGCAAGTCAGACCTGTTTCAAAGTTCTACACATTGAGGTCTGAGCCTATGGCTTGTATTTGTCAGTCTTGTAACTAATTCCAGTGGCTTGTAAGCTGTAAATCTCTATACTTCCAAAATCATCAAGCTGCAAGCTGGGAAAAGGTGTTAAATGGAGCCAGGTCTGGACATCTCCTGTGCTCCAAAAGCTGACCACAGAGGGATCCCGTCAATACGGCAGTTGTTGAAAGCTGCTACCACCCACAGACTTGATATTCAGACCAGAGTGTCATCCTGTGTCATCCAGGGTTGTGGTGATGAGCCAGGTACCTATATGAATCATCACTAAAGTTGGTGAATCTGTCGCTCCAGAATGCTTATTATCTGTTTGTATATAGCTAATTCTGGAATTCCAACTGCACAGCCAGGGGCCCAGAGCCCAGAGGTTTGGACCTTGAGCCAATATTTGCTCTAACTACGGCAAATCTGTAATCAAATTTCGGAAAAAATCCACACTTTCCAAGCTAACAACTCCTCGTTCACACTTCATTAACAGATAGCGACATTGCACTGTCAATGATTTGTCTGTCCTTGGATGCATTTCGCGTGCATTCTATACCTGTTAACACTTGTAATGAGATGGTAATGTTTCTTTGAGCTGTTTTATTACGGTTACGTATCGTTTTCTTCGCAGGCATCATTTCCGGTACAACGCTGTGCTGCTGAGAGCAGAGTTTGACCAGCACAAGAACGAGCGTGACATGATCAAGGTCAAAAAGCTGATGGAGGATGCTGAGTACCAGCTCTGGAGTAACCAGCACTACCAGCCCAAACAGTGTATGTACGACTTGTTTGGTAGAAGAGAAATGTTTAATTTTTCATCGTGAGCTCTGCGATGCCTTAGATCTTTTTCGATGGACATACGAGTATTTGATTCAACACGCATGGATATTTTTTCTCCATTCTAAGCTTACTTTATCGTCCTTCTTCCGGTATAAGACAATGTTTGCTTTCTTAGGTGTATTTCTAAAAGATATAAAATTAAAAAATAAAGATGAGCGTGTATATTTAGTTCTAATTTCCATAAAACGCATTCGCGTGCTTATATTATAGTGCATGCTCTTTTTGTCGTCTATTTTTTGCTAGCTGTTGGCGCGGACGGACCTATCCTACAATCCCTTTTCCCTGCCTTAAAGGAAATAGTTCACTTTCACGAAATTATTTTTTTTGCAATGGATTTGTGATTTTTTATGTTCAAAATGATCAGCAAAGAAAATAAAACCTTTTTACAACAAAAGATTATTTTCTATATTTTTGATATAGGAAGAACTTTTCAGTTTCTGTAAGGCACACGCGATCCAGTATGAAAAGAGCATGGGTCCCGAAAATTCTTCAGAAACTGAAAATTATCGCGGCCACCGGCATTTGGGCGATCTGCTCGTGCTTTTGTTACTGGAGCGCCTCACTGGAGCGAATTTCTGTAGAGTTCTCGTAGATAATTTCTCTAGTTTCTGAAGAATTTTCGGGACCCATGCTCGTTTCATACTGGATGCGAATATATGCAAGGCACACATCCTCAACGCAAGACACATTTTTCGGGACGAGAAATAGAATATCTTTGCCTAGGGTGATCGTTGGGCTGTAAAAGCTCCTGATTTATGCTCGTCTCAGCCCAAGCTACGGAACTGCTATTCCAGTTCAAAACCCATGTTAAAATGTGAACTATTTCCTTTAAGATCTGTATTGCATTATCCAATGATCCACTAGCCGCTCGCCCCTGCCGTCCTTCTTTGCCCGGTGTGACCATGAATTGTCCGTGTGTTCGGCAGTCCCCGACTCACCGGGCGGCGTGGCGCACGGCCGCGTCGTGGTGCCTCCCGACTGGGTGCTCGACTACTGGCACCCGCTCGAGAAGGCCATGTACCCCGAGTACTTCGCCAGGCGCGAGGAGCGCAAGGCCGAGTACGTCAAATGGTGGAACTCACAGTACGGAGAGCCGGAGCCGGCCGGTGACAAGGCGCACTGAGCGGCCGCAGCGCCATCCGACGGCAGGTCCCGGAACTGACGGTTCCGACTGTTGTCGGTAGAGAAATTTGTCGGGAGAACGGCGTTGTGTGATGTATAATGTGAATATGTCGCGCTGGCTGGGAGCATTCTTGGCAGGATACTGTGGGCGTTAGGATCATGCTTGTGAATCGTTTCCATTGAAGATCTATAAACGATTTCACAATCATGCTGTGTCAAGAGGCAGACTGCTTCTGCTGAAGCAATATGTAAATAAATGGTCACGGAGGATATTAATTTGTTTGTGATGAGCGTGTTTGTGGCATCTGCACCATATCCTATAGGATGACAAACGAAAGCCAAGCTAGATCTGATCAAACCGTAATTTCTGAAGAGCTCTCGGCTAGGTGCAATTAGTGCGAAGCAAGCAATCGAGGAAAAGCTGAACTCAGTTGGCTCAGTTTTTGCTCTTTGGTAGGCCTGGATATTTATTTGTTTATGTGCAATATAGGGGCTTTGCTAGAAGGCATGAGACTTGTTATTTTCCTAACCCATTGTCTGGTCCAAAGGGGGAGGCCGGAGGGGCCAGGGGGCATTGCCACTTCCGTAGGGCTTTCTGGATCCGGCATTCGGCAATGTTCCAGCCTCAAGTAAAATGGGCAATATTTGTGAAGAGCTGAAAAACTTCAACAGAGCCAGCAAATATGCAGATTGCATAAGCCGGCTTTCCGTTCGCTTGGCTAGCCCAAAACACCAAGATTCCTTTACTACTCTACGCAAAATACCTTTGCCTTGATGACGTAATAAACCACTGACCGGACGACTGCAAATAATTGATGATCCTTGATTCCGGACACCGCAAGAAAGTTTCGGGCGCGGGGTGGTTGAAAAGTTTGCACTATTTATCGGATAAGGCTCAGTCTGGCTTGAAGGTATGCTTCCTTCACTTTGAGTCAGTCACTTAGTTTCGTTTTATCGGGCAAAGAGCATGGTCGTCCTTCTCTCCTAGGCCCTGGAATGCTAAAAACCGTGGGATTGACCGCGCCGTTTTTGTCTCACAATGTGTAAGCATATCCAAAATAAAAATCGGCGTCGTATTTGTTGATCGATGGATTGTTTTAGCTTTTGAACTTTTTGAAAAATTGAAATTGGGACTTTTTAATGATGCGATTGTTTTGGAATTATTACCAGATGCCTTTTTGCTTTTGATTAAATTTATGTAGGCACAAGTTCTTTGCACAAATATTCGCCATCGTGAGCGGGGGCCTAGTCCCTGCTTACCTCCCCCAGTAGTAATTTCCCTGCATCCTATCATTTTGATTTCAGGTCACTAGGTCTACATCTACATCACTAGTTCTACATTGACATCACTAGGTGTATGCAAGCTCAGTTGGGCAAACTAGACTTTTGGAATCAAAATATGGAGGCATCAATATTTTGATTCTGGTGGGAGGAGCCATGACCAAATATGGGCATGGAATCAATTTTTTGATTCATTTTGGTACACTTTTGACTTCAAATGTATCGTTACGGTTGAAAAAAGGCCCATGACGGTGAGATTTTTCTTTAAAAAGGTAGAAAAATGTGGTAGATTTGCAAAAAGTGTTACCTCAAAACTAAGAAATTGTCCCTTTGGCCTTGTGAATGGGAAGAAGACAGAGCCACTGTCCATCACGTAAAAGCTGTTTTGGGGAAATCACACTGTATGTTATTTTTGTATCATGAATCGCATACTAAACAATCAGTGTTTGTGTAAAATGGCAAAATGAAATTTTCAAACCCCTAATTATCATTGTTGTAGTGCTTTTATATTTATTATATGGTTTTTACCTGCTGGTTTAGTTTTTGCATTCTTGACATGTAAAAAATGTGAATTGTTATCAAATGTAGTGAAGATAAAGTACAACAATGCTATAGGTATCTGTTCTGGTGCTGAGGATACCACTACATGAGAATAATAGCAAGATAAATGCTGTATTCCTGCAAGTTATTGTTGCCTATCTGTTAACATTACCTGTGAATCAAAATAATGATTAGCCAGCTGATGGGGAATCAATATTATGATTATCTGTTTAAAGTGAATAAATTCCTTGATTGCCTTTCACTACCTATAGAATTCAAATTGTTATGATAGGAGCAATATTATTTTGCTTAGGAGATAGTTCCAGCATTTCTGTTCAAGATCAGGCATGCTCCTTCTTGAAACACTCTCTTATTTTTATGTGATTGGTAAGTTAGAAATGGTCTGCATTTTTGCCAAAATATGGTCATAAAGAATCAATCTTTTGATGCCTCCATATTTTGATTCCAAAGGTCTAGTTTGCCCAACTGAGCTAGTCAGTAGTTACTAGGTACAGCTCATGGTAAATGACAAGTACAAAATCCTCTGAAAAGTGAAAAGCCATGGTTCAGAGTTAAACAAGCCTGTCTCCGATTGGTTGTTGACAATGGTGACTCCTTATTCTTCATATTTATACCAGTGTGCAATTTTTAAATTATAAATTTAGCTGTAATGTTTGAGCAGACGGATTGACAGAGCTGGAGCCCATGTTAAGCAGAGCTTGTTGCATAGACCCCAACTCTTACTGTCTGATCACGCAATTCCAGGCAACAGGAGAATTTAGATGCCAAAGTTTAACATGTCCTTCAAAGCCAGACATGGCCTGTTCCACTCAACTGACTTCAACTGGCTGCGGCTGCTCCCACCAACCGCTGACCATCCCCAGGAGTCAGGAGTCTCAAATATCGAGCGTCAGAACCGGAGCGTCTCGAACCCGGGCTCTCACTACCGGGAGCCCAATGCTCTACCAACTGAGCTACGGGACAGGCTCAATACTTAAGTTATTCAGAGTGCATTTAAATTTTGTTTTGATCAACAATGGTATTTGTTTTGTCAGAATTGCATTTGCTTTTGTGTGTTATGTGGAGCAGGGTGAAAGGGAAACATCCATTGAAGTGATTGATCTTCAGGCCTCAGGGTCCACCCCAGTTTGGGAGTTCATCACTCCCTTGTTATTGATTTATATATCATTGACATGCTTGTTGTTTCTCCATGTGATGATCAATTCTGTTTGTTCTCTTACTATCATCATGCCATCCCCAGGTCGTCATGCTGCCTGCCCAGGACCCCATCGCTCTGGTGGAGTGCGGTCCGCGCCCGGTCGGCCCGGACCGCGAGTCCGTCACGCCGCACAAACTGTCCCTTCTGGCGCTGGTCCAGCAGTACTCAGAGTCCCGCCAGCAGCTGGACGCCCCTCTGACGGCCCGCCAGCGGAAGGACACGTGTCTGCTGCTGCTGCAGCTGCTGCAGGGCCCCGAGCTGGACGGCGCCCGGCTGCTGGTGCAGCTGCGCCGCCGGCTGCCACCCGAGCAGCTGTCCGGGCTCTGCCGGCGGCTGCAGAGGCTGAGGGACGCCGGCGTGGAGGGGCTCTCCGAGCTGGTGGCTGGCGTGAAGCAGCTGATCGCCGAGGCCGGGCCGCGCCGGCTGGCCGTCTCCTGCAGCAGTGTAGTCGGTTTCTTCGTGCGGCGTATGGTGCTGGCCTTCACCCGCCTGCCGTTCCACGAGGTGACCAGGGTGTACGCCGAGTTCGCCGCCTACCACGCGGCCGGGCGGTTCCCGGACGGCGCCGAGGAGCCGCCGGTGCCGACGATGGCCGACTCGGCCGACTGTATGGACCTGGGAGATGTGTCGGACGCCGCCGTGGTGTCGATCGGTGGAGACGACGAGGAGCAGGCCGACGACAGGTGGGTGGCTCACGGAACTTTGGTCAATGTAGTATAAGAGTCTCTATGTTTGGCCGGTTTGTTTGCTACCTTTTTCAAGTGTAGGTATTGTTGAACTGATTTATTCTGTGATATGCTGATGGAGGTGACCTTTGACTTCCTATTTCTAGGTCTATCTCAAGTGAAGCCACGTTGATGATACGGCTGCCGGCCGCTTAAACAATAAATTGACGCTGTTTTAGTTTCGCTGATCGCTCTGCCTCCTCTCCCCAGCTGCTCCTGGGTCGGCCAGCGTCCGTCCCGTCGTCAAGCCGAACTACTCGTCTCCACGCAGATGGAACTTCTTCAAACCAACGAGCGGCGAGCTCTACCCCCGGCTCAGCTTCAGGAGGTGACCTCCCGGCTGCTGCGAGATAACCCCGACCTCGCCGAGGCGCACTTCCTCAGTTTCCTCAACTGCCTGCGCTCCAGTGAGCTGTGCGGCGCCGTGCATAGCCTCTACCACAGCTTTGACAGGATGGGTGCCGGCGGGGACGAGCCGTCCCGCGGCCTGCGGTACGCCGCGCTGAGCCTCGCCTCGCTACACGCGCGGTTCGGACACCGCGGTGCGGCGCTGGCGGCGCTTCGAGAGGCGGTTACAATGTCTCAGGACAGTAACGATAGTCGGTGTCTACAACAGGCGCTCACTTGGCTCTACAAACTCACTGATGACGAGGAGGCGAGGCAGAGACTCATGAGACACGCCATAGCCAAGAGTGGTGAGCTGGATCTACATGAGTTGGCCTCGCTGGGAGTGCAGAACTACACAGAGATGATGGCACGGCGCGGTGCCAAGCCAACAGAAGCGTTCGAACAGCTGGCCATTTCGGATCAGATCAACTGCCAGCACTCATTACCGGCTCTTCTGGCGTCAGCGTACTCTGTGCGCTCGGCACTGTGCTCACTGTACGGCCGTCCCGGACTGGCCCATCTCTGCAGCCAGCTTCTGCTCTGTATCGATACGAGCGGCTCGGGCCGGCACGGCGCACCCGTCTGTGGCGAGCCGGTGGCATTGGCCGCCGGTACCGTGGCGCGCCACCTGGCCGGACAGGGCGAGTACGCCAGGGCGGAGCAGGTGCTCTCCTGGGCGGCCGAGCAGTTCCCGCCGGCCGGCGCCGAGGCCCGGCTGGTGCGACAGCAATGGCTCGAGATGGAGGCCGAGCGCGCACTGCTGGCCGGGCGATGTGAGTCGGCCCAGGAAGCGGCCACCGCGCTGACCGCGCTGGACCCGGCCAGTGGCCGGCTGCGGCGCGCCCAGCTCCACCTACTGCGCGGCGAGCCGGCCGAGTGCGAGCAGCTGCTGGCCCAGCTGCTGGCCGCGCAGCCGCCGCCGGTGCCGGAGCGGCTGGTGCAGCTGCTGCTGCTGCGGGCCGAGCTGCGCGCCGCCAGCGCCGACTACGCGGGCGCTGCCGAGCCGCTGCTGGCGGCGCTGGCCGAGTGTCAGCGGCGGCGGCTGCGCGGCGCTCGCTGCTCGGTGCTACTGCGGCTGGCGGCCGTTCAGCTGCAGCTGGGACTCCGCGGGCCCGCCGCCCAGCTGGCAGAGAAGCTGGCCCTCCCGCTGCTCACTCACGGCTCTCTCCACGAGCGGGCGCGGCTCTACCTGCTGCGGGCCCGCTGTCTGTTGGCAGAGGAGCCGCCGCGCCGGCGAGACGCACTCCCTCTACTAGAAGAAGCCGCGCACCTGCTGACGCGGCTGCAGGCCTGGCTGCTGCTGAAGACCGTGTTCCACCTGAGGGCGGTCACCTTCCACGAGCTGGACGAGCGAGCCGAGCGGAACACAGCGGCGTCTCAGTATAGGCAGCTGATGGCGCAGCACCCCACTCTGGATGGGGTGCACCTGATGAGGATTTCGTGACCTGAGGACGTGGGGACCTCGTGGACTCGTGGCTGCCTGATCCACACCAGTGATAACCTGATGAGGTGAGCTAACTGATGAGTGATGAGTGAGTAGCGCTATGCCTGTGATAAGCTTAGCGCGAGTGTTATTTTGAGGCAGGCCAGAAGGGGCGGACTTCGTCAATGCTAATGTGCGTTATACAATGAAAATGTTTTCTGACGCCTGAGGAACAGTGTGTTGTCACTCAATTCAGAATAAATGGGACTGCACACTGCACTGTGCACAGTGACAAATCATGCTGTCTTTAAATATGATGCTTAGGTAATGGGAAGTGAAGGTAAATGAAGAAATGGAGGGAAATGAGCCGAGCAATTGAAATGAACTGGCGCAGACAGGCCACCATGTTCCAACAGAGATGAGGTGGGGCTTGATGAATGATGGATCGGTGTCCACCAAACGTCCCACACGTTTCCTCAACCCTGCCTTCTTGATTGAGTGCTCTACACCTCGGTGTACATAGTAACACAGTCCTGTTCAACAGACTTCACAGGGTCGATGGAAGAAGCACGATCCTGGGATCCTGGGTCTCCCTATTGTCGCTGTACTGTCGAGGCCTACCGCCTTCGTCCACTGACCCTTTGACCTGGCCTGCGCGCCCGTCCTGACCTCTGCTGACCTTTGGCGTCACCTGGTGCCTCTCACGGCACTGGCTGCCCGGGGTCAGGGCGGCCCCTTCAGGATCCGCCGACTGTGCGCGTTGGATGATGGAAATTCGTACCGATGCTCCGGAGGAGCCAGGAAAGAAAAGCACACGCGCTAGCATTGTTACAATAAGTTTTCGTTTACCCGAACTTTTCAACAAGACGCAAGCCTGGGGTGTCTGGTTCGGTAGTCGGATCTCTAGTCAGAATGCATTATACCCACGTGTGTTCGTTGTTTTAATTGGACTGTTCATTGAAAAGCGTCACTGGAAATAATGAGCTGTGCGGCCGCGGACATCCTGTGGAGAGAGGAGCGCGTTTCGTTGAATCATGACTTGTTCTGCAATAACCGGCGACGTCTGTGTCTTATAGATCGCGCACTAACTCAGTAAAATGGCCACCTCTAACTGCGAAACACAGCTTCATTGCAGATAAATCGAATTGCCGAAACAGATAAACTAACTGGGTGGCGGCGGACGTGGCTTGGCCCGCTCCAAACTCGGCCAGAGCAGTTGTGATTTAGGACGGAACAGTGCCGACTCTGTGCTCTAATCCGCTTATTCGGTTAATGAAGACTATGTTCCAGAGAGCTATGTATGGCCGTGGCACTAAATCGCCTTGTCTGCACGGTTGCATACGAATTTACGATTTCGCAGTCAGTCAAAATGGTGCGACCAAGCTTCAGCTCCACAGTGTCTGTCAAATGAATTCAGCTAAGGCCAAACTTGCACTCGCTCTTTCTTTATGTGACTCATCAGTCAGTATTCTGTAAAGACCCTTTACCGAACCATCGCAGAATGTTCACCAGGAAAAGTGTGTATGTAGCCTTCCGACGCTTTCTTGGTCAATCGGAATTCTCCACAATAACGTTTTACTCTCCAAATAACAAGCCTCACGTTGCGTTTCTTATTTTGTCACCAGAACTGTAACGGTTCGGGCTGGCCGACTGCCACTTATCTGCAGGTATGTGGCCGATATGTCATGATACGCTGATGACCCGATCAAGTCATCAGCAGCCTCCAATACCGTGATCGACTTAGGCCACGCGCGCCACGGTCAGGTCGCAGCGGCGCCTGTCGGCCTGACACCACCGCGTGGGAACCCCGCGACCCTCGATAGGACCGACAAATGCAACGGTTTGACACCCTTGATGAAGAGGTAGCGCGACGCTCCATCGAAGCTGAAACATGACACCCGATTAACAACAGCGCTGATGTCAGGCGTGTGTCTTTGATCTCGCCACATGCATAGCTCAGTGTCAACCTCCCGAGGTTTCTCTGGCCATCGTATGCCACTTCACCATTGCGTGTCGGGTGATCCATTGACACCGTGAAATTGGTGCCGGGCCGCCGTCTTATTCATGGCCTTTGATAACACAGTGTGCATCGTACGTCTCTCCGGAGCCGGCCGAGTCTGGACTCTCGGAGAGAGATAGTCTGTGACCGGCACGGCACCCTCTGCTGGTGTGACATTGCCGCCTCAGAGGTCAGCACGCCGTGGGAACGTCGGGTGGTGCCGCACGCGTACCGATAGCAACGAGAGAGGTCGGTAATGGCACATTCGTATGCTCGGCGTCGACATGCGGCGCACGCGGCCGATACAGCGACTTGGTAACGGCGGCGCCGTCTGAGTGTGAAGTATACGAGTAAATGCTGCACTTTGCTACTTTCAACAGACGAACGTAATTACCGTCTAAGTTGGACGTTTGCAGTATCAGTCAATTGGATATGATTTTCACACTTAGTAACTGAGTCGCCATGGACTGCCATACCATGCAATGTATACGAAAAAAGACTGATAAAGCACAGTCGATGTATTTGCCTTGAGGCTTCGTCGGCCCTCGAACACGCACTTCACTGTTGAACAAGGTATCCCAACACATACAACGGTAGCGGCACAAACTCACTCACACACTTCGCACTCCGCACCACAGCAAACTCGTACACACTCGCCGCTCTCAGCACCACATCCACGCACTCTCTCCTCTCTCAATGGAATGGTTTTATTATAATAAACGACCGTTGATGTCCTCACTAATGCAGCGTCCCATCAGTCAGTCGATGTGATAAATATCAGGAAGCGTAGCAACCCAATTGCTTTCTCTCCTCCGTCGATCGCCTTTAGCAGGCACTTCCTGGATTGGCGAGCGGGCCGCAGCCCGGGCGCCGTAACAACATGGCAAACACACGCGATCTACAGACACACACTCGCATCATGGGGCGTCGCGAGCACACCCGATCCCGGCGCGCTTTACACTACTAGCTGTACATGGCCGGCGACCCATTTGGCGCCGCCCGCGGGTCGCGGCACTGGCACGGTTCAGATGCCCGCGGATTCGTTGTCGCGGCGCGGGCCGGGCGGGGCTGGCCCGGCCCGGCCGCCGGCCTGCGCCCGCTGAGTATTATGCAGTAACGACTGGCAGGGCACCGGGCGGCGCGGGCACATCGATACGGACGACGCAACACAACAGGAGACGGCCACCGCTCTGCGGGACGGACTCGACTGAAACGAGCCCCGCGCGGCCCGACCGCCCCACACCCCTGCTTGTCACACCGGCTCGCCGCGGCCTAGCTAAACACAATCGGAAACTTTGTCCCTCACAATGCCTGGCGACCACAGCGCCGCGCAGCGGCGTCCGGCGAAACTAACCACCCAACGCCGTCGGCGCGCACGCCGGGGTCATTGAGCAGAATTAGTGAGCACTCAAACAGGGTTTAACTGTAACAATAATACTGTGAGCCGTCGCCGCAGCACAAACAACAATCTACCAAAAATAGCCGAGCTGGCCGGGCGGATCCCGGCGGCGCGGTCGACATAATATCATACTGCGATGAGACTGTACAGTGGCGGGCGGCGGCAGGCGCCGATGGCACACGGGGCAGGCGGCACGCGCGGCCTCCTGGCTCGGCTCAGGTCAGGTCAGACTGGCGCTCTGCGCGCGGCAGAGACGGGCGCAGGCCGCTACTTTTTGTCCAGCTCCTTGTGTTTGGCGTCCAGCCCGGGTGAACCGAGGTGGATGTGAGCACCCGACGGGAACGTCTTGTCCAGGTACTTCAGAGACTCATTCAGGTAGTTCTGTGGGGACAGACACAAACACGTTAGCATAATGATGTCGACAACGATGAAATACCTAATGTAAGCAATGCACTGCAACCATGTCGCAATTCACAATGCGTTCAACCAAATTGTTCCCTTGAGCATAAATGCTGGCGTAACACGGCCCAGGCCATCTTGTAGATCATACTGAAGTACTTATTGATGACGACAATAACGCTACTCACACTAATCCTCAGCAAACAGCGCCATCACGCATATCTGAGTTAGCATAGCCAAGGGGCTAGAACAGATCCTATCTTCATCAGAACAAAGCCGAGTATATCTTTGTCCACAGTCACGCATGCTCAGCTAGACTACAGCTACTGGTTCCTGCCACGAGCAGACCACAGCCAGTTGCCTCAAACTTTGCGTTCATATCCTTAGCTCCCTTGCTCTTCCGCACGGCAGTGTTTTCAGTCAAAGACTGCCCGCAAAGTTCCCGACCATCACCCCAGAACCCGACAATCCGCACAACCATTGCCTCTTCCAACAAGTCCGACCAGTCTACAGAACCATGAGCTCTTCCACTACCACCGACCCTTCCTCAAAACACAGTCTCGAGCCACCGTAGGCTCGTATCTCAACAGCACATCCCTCCCTTCTGTTCACTTCTGTCCTCTCCGCGCCGCTCAGCCCCAGTTCTCACCTGGATGGCGGTGAGCGCCGCCACGATGGCCGGACTGCCGAAGCCGTGTGTGACCAGCGAGAAGTGCGTCAGGTGCCGCTGGATCTGCGGGTCCAGGATGATCTGCGGCCGCGTGTTACACAGCGGCGACCGGTCCTGGTTCAGCAGGTCCATCAGCTCCTTTGTGATCTCTCTGAGGGCGAGAAGAGGTTGAGGTGTTAGCAAGGCAGTGGTGTCAGCAAGGCAGAAAGACAAATGCTGAATCGGCTATGAAGATGTTTATGAAGTGTGCGGAGAGGATAGTCTCTGACCGTAGGAACATGTGAGGGAATATTCGTTGTTGCATGGTTCAATAAAAATGTCAATCCTTTTCAGGTAAATTGCATAATGTTTTAAAGACTCTGTGGAAATGTAATGAATGCTTCAGGAGCTGAGATCTGAATCCCGAGAGATCCTGAACAGCGTCATAGTTCCGTCTCCGTGGTTAGGACGTCGGATACAATGAGTCATCCACGAGTTACATGATCATATCATTATGGCCAGAACTCCCATCGTTTAGTGAGTCACCCGCTGACGAAGGTGATCCGTGGTGCAAGGTAATGCCAATTTACATAGCACTGACTCACTAAACGGGGCAGATTCAAAGAATGTCGAGTAAAGAGGGCAAGTCACGATAATGTAGAATTTAATCCAGAAAGGAGAAGACGGCAGCCATTTCGGCTGCTAAGAGAGTAGATGGGCAGGCTTTGAAAGCCCTCATTGGGAGTTTAAACGATACAGGATAGGACCGCTGTAGACCAATCGCGGTCCGGTGCGATCGAGCGTGGTACTTTTCAATAACCACCTCATGACTTTCTCCGAAGCGGCGATAACCCTTCCAATAAAGCCGGCACCACGCGGCCCGGCGGCCCTGAGCGCCGTAACCCCGGCACCGGGCAGCCATCGACGGCGCACAAACCCAATTAGCACGTTGGCTCATTTGACCGCGGACGGGTTACGGATGACGTGCCGACTGGCGGTAACATGGGCTATTACCGGCACACAACTGGTAATCACAGTCCAGGAGAGCGGCGGCGGCGGCTGCGGCGCGTCCAGAGACGGCCTGCACCGCGGCAGGTGCAGAGGTGCTCCGCGCACGCGAGAGACGCACTATCCTCCGGGCTCGTCACTCATACCGACCAGCAATAGCGTACTTCATTGCTGGGAGAAGAGAAAGCAGCCTGCCCATGAGCCATCTGAGATTCCCTCACGTAGAGGACCAGACTGTCCATGTCCGGTATCCCCCCGCATCGCGGCGGCCAGCGCGGAACGCGACGGCGGACGGCTGCCGGTTAGATAAGGCACCGACACAAATTTCAAAATTCCTCCACGGTTCCAGCGACCAACAGCGCTCCACTCTCGAGACAAATCACCTCCACGTGCGATCGTGTCGTTCCATTTGGACGCGCGCCTCTCGGCCGCCACAGCCACTCCCGCGAGTCAGGAGAAACTCAGATCGACACGTTTAAAACACGGCCACGCGTTCATATCAGCTCTGAGAGGTTCCCCATCACGGGCGCCCCGGGTCGCGGCGCCGTGGAAACCCCGCTCCGGCCGGCGCAGAGAGCCGTTTTCTCGATATCGATTTATCAAAACCCGGCCGGTCCCTCTCGAACTCGGGTGGCAGGTTCTTGGGAGCACAACACGGACGGGAGTGGTGTGACACAGACGATCGGACGGTCTGGCGGCGGTTCGGGAGCAGGTGTGACACGGGACGCGCAAAAAACGACCGGCGACGGGACGTTTTTTGCCCTTTCTGGACTTTTACTATTCGGCAGCGTCGGGTTTGTCGAGCGGCACCTGACGACAGCCCGCCCCGGTCAGATGTGACTGGCGTTCAAAGACGCACACCTGCCGTCCCGCGCCCCTTTCCTTCTCTTCTTGCGTCTCAGTGGTTCTCTGAACCAGCCCAGACAGGTGACAGCGTCTCAGAGCTCGTCTAACCGGCCGCCGACGACACTGCTGCCCCCATCACTCACACGGAGCGGACAACACCAGAGATAAGTCCGTTCTCTTGTCCGCCGCCGGCCGCGGGGCCACTCTCTCATCCACCATCGATTCGAGCCGCCGCCGGCCGGGGCGTCATCGGCGGCGTCATCGGGTTCGACGACAGCGGCACTCGGGCCGCCACGCCGGTGGTCGGATGCCGCCATCGGCTCGTGATCGATGGCGCTTCTAATGCCGGCTCTTAGTCCGACGCGCGCCGCTTAGCCGGGCGACAGCTGACGTGATGCGCACTGGACCACGCCCGGATCAAGTGACCGGGCGTCGGCCGATCGTAGGTCCGTACATACATCGGGCCTCGCCAGCAGCTCAACGTTATCAGACAGAGGAACTCACATATCGACCTCTCCCGATCACTTGCAGCGTGCCGCATCGGCTTAACTTGGCCCACGCTTAGTTCCATTGATACATCTTCTGATACGAAATGCTAGTGCTTTTTTACTCGCATTCATCCACGATTGATCGTTCGACACGCCCCACTCCCAGGTGACATCCCACACCCACTGGGAACCGCCGCTCCTTAGAGCTTGTTACAGCTCACAGCCTAGGCGAGCTTCAGCTGCGAGCTATCCACTCGAGCAAGCAGACCTCTCGTCAGACACGCCATCTGGGCCTCTGCGGCTTCCCTTTCGTCGGCAGCGGAGCGACGCCGCCACTGCCGCTGGCTCTCGGCCACTTGGGCCACGGACAGAGCCGCACGCGCCGGTGCACGTGACTCGTCGACGCCGCCGACGCAGCCTCCGACGGCGCCTCCATCTCGGCAGACGCCGTCACCGCCGATGGCAAGAGAACTTCGGCTGATTGTCGAAAGTTGGTAGACTTATGATTTGTTATCAGGATTTCGTGTTTCGCTACCAACTATGCAGATTATAAGCCCCGGGTGTATTGTTTGTTGGCTACCGACATTCTGTTTCCCACCACTCCATTGCTCGGTTAGCAGAGTTACCTGTGAACTACCCGCCGAGTTGTAAAGCCAGCCAAACACCGCCAGAGGACGAGCGAAGGCCGCCAACTGGCCCGGCCGTCGTTTTACGACACGAGCTCGAAGCTGGCATACGTTGGCGCGATTAGCACCCAGGCGCCGAGGTCGAGCGGAGCGGCACCGAGCCCCCGCCGAGACCATCTCGGCTCGGCTCGGCGGCGCGGCGCGCGCTGTCATTCTGCTCCGCGGTGGGTGATAACGCCGACCGATCCATATAGATCGCCGCACAGGGATTACACAAACAGCTAATGCACGGCGGCGCAGCGAGCCGCAGGCGTGACTCGAGCTCTCGACTGGGTCCTTTCCTGGCCCATCCGCACGCACCAGCCGAGTGCACCTCCAATCCTCAACAGCACAACCACGACCATCGGCGGTGGCGGCGACGCGAGGGCGGCGCGAGTTGTCACCATTCTTTCGCGTCATTAAGCGGAATGAGCTCCTTTGTCGCCGGCCCGTGATCGTCGGTCTCGGTGAAAAGGTTGCCATAGGTTCTCCGGCCAGGACCTACGCCGCCGACACACCGTCAATAAAAGGCAGACAATTTATCAGACATCTCTCGTGTCCATGTATCAATGCCCGTCATAAAAGCCAGCTTTAATCAAACCGGACAAAATAGCCTGGCCGAGCGCGTCTGTGGCCTTTTATGTTCGTCATTTTCCCCGGCCCGACGACACGGGGAGCGGCATTTTCGCCGCGCTGCGGCCACCGCGGCGCTCTCCGGAGAGGAGGTGCCGTTAGAGCGCGCCGCCATTAGGACGACGAGACGGCGCGCGGTGCGCTAATGACGCCGCCGGAGACGTGCAGCGGCGCACTGGCGGCGGAAGTCGGCGCAGATGCGGAACGGCGCGCGATCACCGCGTACCCACGGCGGTCGGGTCGGGGTGGAGGTGATGTCGCAAGGGTGGCTCGGCCGGACACTTCAGACGAATAGGACCGAAGAAAGCGAGGCAAAGAAACGATAGGAGGAGAGAATATGGTAGACCTTATACTTTATAGCGTACGGTAAAAGGAAGAGACGTTTACCTGGATAACTCCGATACAGAAATGTAAATGGGTAAATAAAAAACGACAACTTTGTATATAGAGGGACGTGCTACGCCCCTTTACATACCCTGGCATCAGCAGTCAGTGTGGGCGTTGGCGACAGCTGGAATTCGGTACTCACTTGGTGGCTTTGAGGAGCTCCCTCCGCTGGTATTGTTCGGCGGGGTTCGTGTGCTGCCGACACAGGTACTCTGCGATCTGGCGTGACGGGAACTCTGTCTCACACACGTAACCAAAGTCGCGCGCTAGGTGGATCGCCTCGCCTGGAAACAAACACAAACACACATTAGTACAGTGACCGGGGAGTCTTTGACAATCATGGCACATGATGACACGCTGAAATCTACAAAAATACGCGGCGAGCGTAGACACATAGCCATGGCGTCGACAGTGACAGAGATCAGACAGAAATCAGTCGGCGCAGCGTCACTAATGCACACACAGCAGGCCGCGCGGGCGCCCGGCCGGACCGCCCGGTTATGCCACACAATAAGGCCGGGCATCACGATAAAGATGCAGGCACACATGAATAATGCAGCACACAGGCTAGCAGTGACCTCAGTCAGTCTGATAAGATGGGCGCATGGAACCGAACCCGACATCATCTCTGTTCGATTGCCACGCAGCACAGTGCCACACCTAGCATTGGCACGTGCTCAATCACACGCAGCAGACACCTGTATCGTATCGCTGAGCCGCGCGCAGCGTGCTCAGACCGAGTTTGAAGTGATATCGGGGAGGAGGGTCCCGGCTGGGCGGTGCCGGCCCGCGCGTCAGTTGCACCTGCCCAGGTCAGCGGTCGATTAGGGCGACCAGGGAATACCAGATCATTGGTCTGACCTCAACGGGTGCGGGGCCGGGTGCCGAGGTCAGCCGTCCTCGGCATGACTAGCATCATCATCAATTTGTGGACCCCTCTCCCAGTCTACCCCATCCTCGACAGTCGCGTATGATGTGTTCCCATTGTAGGCGCTTGCGCAGCACGGCCAGCCAGCACCGATGCCGGCCGCCGGCTGCGCGGTCGCATATCAGACCTAATGACGCACACAAACTAATGATGACCACATGAGAAGGCATTCGCTCGCCAACCGTTAGAATAATAAATACCCCCCCCCCCCTCAGGAGAAAGTCCTCCGTCTCCCTACCGTCGGCTGCGGAAGGGGGGGGGGGGGGTCGAGGACAGCGTGCCTACCGGTGCGTGACACGCTCCCCCGTGGTGTAACCGCGTGTCGCTCGTTATCTAATTGGGCGGTGTCGATGGCGGTGCGGTTGGCTGCACATCGCGCCGCCATCGACGCCCATGCTGCTCGCGATAGGGCGTGCACGTGTCAGATCTGACCCGGTCACTCAATGAGGAGACGGCGGCAGCGCCGTCCTGCCCGTCATGGTTTGGACACGAAACAACCTTCCAAGCCTTCATACAGCAGACCCCGAACCAGCAGGAGCTCGCACAATGTCTCCTGCAAACCTGCACCGTCGTGTTGTACAGGCGACGGCGCAGTTGTCTATCTGACGCAACTCAACTGATGATCGCTAATTACATATAGTCGCATACGGACTGACGATTGACGATGATATGGGATTCGGAAAGAAAGGTGCTCATCGCCCACTGTATACGAACCGGTCGGACCCACTCGATTCGACAGTTTGCGTTGCGACAGCGGGTGCCAGACTGCCCACCGCAGTCCGGCGCCGATGGCGTCACGGTCCCCGTCATTACCGACCGCGTCATCCGTCATCATAGTCGGCACCGGCGTCATCAGGCGTCATCAGGGCGGCCGCCAGCCGCACAAGGCAGCAGTGGGCGGCGAGTCGCCATCCGGCCACCAGGGCTGCCCGGACAACAGTGCCCATTCGGCGGAAAGCGGAAACACGAAAGTGGTGTAATGTAGCCAGAAGTGGGTGATCAGGCGATTCTGTGGCGCTTGAACGGCGCACTGTTTGATCAGGGCAAGCAAACAGACGCGAAACGGGACGGACAGCTCTGGAAATAGAATAGGTGCTCTGATGTATGGAAGAAGATATGAGGAAAAGTTGGCAAAATTGATGCGCGCCTACAAGCACGTTATTAGGCTGCTTAGCCAAACAAACGCAGTATAACAATGGAATAAAACGAGTCTATTCATAACGAACCGTGCTTTCGTGGGCGCTGTAAAACTCGCCGGCCAATTTCGCCCACACTGTCACACCGCCCGACCACCTAAATCGGCCAGCGTACATACAGCCGTGAACAATATCAAATTAGCATAATTACAGGTGTGCGGTGGCCGTGGTGTCGCTCCGCGTCCGCCCCCGCCCCAGCCCGAGCGGCGGCGGCGGCGGCGGAGCGGCGGTGCGTCCGTGCGTGGGAACGGGAGGAGGGGAGCGAGCGGACCCGCCTGCCACCTGCCACCGCGCCGCCTCCCCTCGCGATCCCCCTTCGGACTCCTCCCCTGCACACATTCCTCAGGTGCACGATTAAACGGGAGTGAGGGGAGAGAGAGAGAGAGAGAACGAGGAGAGCCAGACGACTCACCCCGCCGTCCGGCCGGAGAGCAAGATACGGCAATCGTCAAATGGAAAGGAAATCCGCCTACAGCGCCAGCCAATAACGGCGGATTGGTTAAGCCTCAGATCGAAATACCGTTGATTGATCGTCAGAGATCCGAGTCTCGTGGACTATTGACGAACGATTCTGTGGAACTACTCAACCAAATACAGGGAACACATCAATGCTGACCAAATCCATCCACAGCCCCGTGGAGCCGCACCCTCTCTACTGAGCGGTAACGGGTCGGCACAGGTCGCCGGTGAAGGCTGCAGCCCGCAGCTCAGCCGGCGCCGCCCCACGGCGCGGACCGGTGCGGCCGCCGCGCTGTCTGCTGCACCGGGCACACCCACAAACCATCGCGGCCGCCCAGCCCCGGCGCGTAAATCAACCGCGCCGCACCCGTCGCCGTGCCGCCGCCCTCCCCTCTCCGTCCGACCCGGGCCGGTCACTCCAGCGATACTATCTTAGCGAGTCTGGTAGTCCCGGTCGGTATCCTGCCCCGTGTCCGGCCCGGCGCCCCGGTATCGTGCTCGCCACCGTGTCACACATCACCGTGCACACCTCCGCACGGCCCGGCAGCGGTCACCGCCGCCGCCGCCGCCGGCGCCGGCCCACGCTGTTTGTTTATTGCGCTTTTAGCGCACGCTGATTAGCGAGATTAAGATGTCGTCTGGTTCTGTTGGCGGATAGGGGAGAGTGGGGTAATTTGGCCGCTTTTTTTAGAAAACGATGTAACTTAAAACTGACGACACATTTCTGCATTTTCTCAACGCTGGCAGGTGTCGCATTCATTTTACTTTACTGTACAGTGAACTTGAAATGATAGAGTAATTACTTATACTGAAATTGTGACGCATTACAAAGGTCTGCAAGGCGGCCAAATTGCCCCACTAGCAGGGTTATTTGGCCGGGGGTGTGGGGCAATTTGGCCGGTGTTAGTTTGCGGTCGGGATTTTCTGTTATATTGCGAGTCAGCTTCAGATTCAGCAATGACGCGTGTCCTAGGACGCATTTACCACATTTTGGAGGTTGACTCAGCCGTCACAGGGGTCAAAATAGCCAAATTAGCGGCTCTAGATGCGAAGACAGTTTTTTACGAATAACTTTTGAAGTAATCAAGCTAGGCCAAAACTTCGAGTACCATCGTAATTCTCGCGTCATTCCGCATCGAAACATATATGTGTTGACCTCGAGAAGTCAAGGTCAAAGGTTGACCTCAGGTCACGTTACCTCAGGTCGCTTGACCTCAAGGTCACGTGATTTCAAGGTCATCATGCATATCATTCGATGCGCCTTGGCGAGCTGAACAGAATGAGACCATTTGTGCGGCTGTACCATTTTTATGTAAGGATTTATTAGCAAAAAACGTTTGGTAACCTTTGATGACGTCATATGCTCTTGCAGTTGACCAATCGGAAGTAAGGCATCAAAGTAGTCAAAGTTGGTCATGAATCATGTCATTTATGGTACAATTGACCATGAAAACTCGGCCGTCCCAGCATAGTGACCATGAGCGCACCGGCCAAGTTGCCCCGCTAGTCCCGGCCAAATTACCCCATATGTAGAGGTTTGTAGCGGCCGGCAGCTGCTGCCACCTAGCGGCACGGCCCGGAAGTTGTCGGCGCGCGCCGGCGCGGCCGGCGCGGCAGGCAGTCGGCTGGCGGGCCGCGAGCCGAGAGGACGGGGACGCGGGGCTGCCGATGTGTGTGTACATAGTATTGTGTGAAAGTGAAAATACAGAAGAAACGTTACAAATTGGCGCGGTCGGTAGGACGCCACGACCGAAAAACCGGAGCTGGTGAGCCAGAATCACGGTAAGGTAGCTGCGACCGGCATTTTGATCGATGTTTTCGGCGGAATAGGATATCGTGTAGTGTAAATATTACGGTCGGTTTTTGTCAGTTTGAGGGAGAAATGGATCCCAGGTTGATTTTTATGTCAAAGGCTAAACCCTTTACCGGTGCAAATGGGCAGGAATGGCGCCGCTGGCTGAACCGTTTCGAGGCACAAACTGTTACCTGGTCTGCCGCGGAACGTCTGCAGTGTTTGCCGGCCCTGCTGGAAGATGGGGCTCTGGACCTATATGCGTCGTTGTCGGCGGCTGCCCAGGCCGATTATGCACAGGTTGTCGAGGCGCTGAGTGTGCGTTACGGCTCTGAGGTTGGTCCACTGCAGGCACAGGCGGAACTGGCACGCGCGATGCAGACACCTGGGGAGACAGTAGCCGATTTTGCCGATCGTATCCGTCATCTGGGACGCGCCGCGTATCCAGACGAGGGCGTGGGAGACGCCCCGGTCGAGTTCCATTTGACGAGCCGTTTTCTGTGCGGACTGCGTAACGAGCAGCTTCAGAGTCAGCTGTGCAGCAAAAATCTGAAAACGCTGTCAGCTGCAATTTCTGCAGCCCGAGAGCTGCAGACACGTCACGATGCGATGCTGGCAGTCCGGCAATCGGCTGCGGCGGCGGCTGGCGCCGTTGCAGTGGCGGCTCCTGCTGCTAACTCACAGGAGGGCGCAGTCGCGGGTCCCGTGACGGCGCTGCCGCGCGGTCGGGAAGTGGTATCAGTCGCCGGTGACTTACCTGCCGCGGGACGAGGCGGCGATGAGACGGAGACGGATCGGGTGCGGGCGCTGGAGCGCCGCATGATGGAAATGCAGCAAATGCTGCACGAGCTCGACACGTCTGGCCACCACGGCGGGCAGCTGGGGGGCAGACAGTCTAGTCAGCTCGCC